AAGCAATGCAAGTGATATAGAGTCCGAGTGGATCGAAGAAGACGAGCCGGGAGTTTATATCACCATCAGGCAGCTTGCAGATGGCACTAGGGAACTTCGCCGTGTCAGATTCAGGTAATAACTCGTGTTTTATTTTCTTTTTTTTGTTTGTTTATTATTGGTATATATATTATATTTCCAACTCTGCATATTTATGGTTTCAGCCGCGAAAAGTTTGGAGAGGTGCACGCGAAGCTATGGTGGGAGACTAACAGAGATAGAATTCAATCTCAGTACCTTTGCTAGACGAGACAGAATTCGGATGGCCGGAGGAGAGTACTCGGGCATTGGTATCATCTAACAAACAGACTTTTTTTTTTTCGTTACAAGGGCGTACAGTTTTTTCATTCATTTGCTGGTACTTTGTTAATGGGATTTGGGAATATGAAGGCGTTTTGAATATTCGTTGTATATCTTTCTGTTTGAATTTTTATGGTCTGGAATGATGGTTGACACAAACCAAAACTGAAAAACACAGGCTTAAGATGCTGCTACAAAATTGATCTTGTGTCATGAAGTCAGCTTCTCAGTGCTGCATATCTGCCTTTTACATTACTAAGTGAACATCGTGCCGAGTTCGATACAAAAATTTTCGCTCAAAATGGATTTTTTTTTTTATTAACTAGAGTTAATTTGAAAAATTGTAAAATAATTAGTTGTTAATCAGATTTTGAGTTTTTATTAAAATAATATTTAAAAAATAATAATTAAAACTATTTAATATAAAATTAGGAGAGAAATGATGTGAAGTGATTGTTATTTAAAATTATGTGAGTGGATAAATAATAAATTAAAATTGATGTAATTTGTAAAAATATTTGATTGGTATTATTTAATTATATTGATAATAGTGAAATCTACCGAAAATTGAGATAGATTTTGAATTGGATCGAGTATGGAAATAAAATTTTCGTATCCAAGCACATCCGAGGCAACTATATTACTAATTTATCACTTTTCCATTAGCTTATTTGCAGACTGCAGATCGTCTATTTCTAACTAGAAAGAGAGGAGTTCATCATCAATCAATAATAAACAAAAAAGATGACACGGTACATAATTTATTCAAAAATCAAATCCAACATTATTTATTATTCGCGCAGACAAAGAGTAAAACGAAACCCAGAGCCAAAAATCAAATCCAACATTATTTATCATTCTCGCAGACGAGAAGTGACACGAAACCGAGAGCCAAGACCAACATAGAGCGGGAAGAGAAACAAAACGTCATAAGATAAAAACACACGAATATGCCGGGCGCAAATAGAAGCATAAGGTACAAACAGAAGCGTAAGAACTTGTCCGGATAAGTGTAACTGTAGCAATCTCTCTTTTTATCCAGCAACCTTCCTGATATAAGCTGCTTGTGTCGGGATAATTTCTTGTGAACGTCGTCCAAGGAACAAATCAGATTGGCCATGCCAACATCCAACCTTCATAGGTGGAGGCCTACCGGACCCCACTGCCATGTTGGCAAACTTCTCAACTGCATCGACCACGCCATGTGCTCTCCCCAGGTTAACAGCTGCTGCTGCAAAGCAAGGTTTGTGACCATCAAAATAGATGAGACCAGAGTTATCAGTATTCCCTATCCATGAACCCAATATGCAGGATAAAATAGGTACTTACATGGGCCGTTTATCCCAGGTGGCTGATACCTTGGCTGAGGCTTGGAATAGTTCCTTAAATCATTGTGATTTTTAGTCAAAGCCTGGCACCATATATAGATTGAAAAATATTAGGAATTATATCACACGAGTTAACTACAAATTAATGATTGTTTCGTGTTTTACCTCATCATTCATGTCCAACTTCCTTTGAGCACCTGGTTAAAATATGGAACTATTGTCATAACCTGATGCTTTTCAACAGACCACACCAACCACAACCACACAGACATTTGAAACAGATATACAAATTACTAAACAGATAGAGAGAATATATGATCAGTTTTATTTAGAAGAAACAAATTTTGGGCCAACACAAAGGGAAATGAATATCAATCCACGTCACAACATTATCAGCTTTCAAAAACACCATGCAGATTATATAAGCTTTCAAAATCCTGCCATGGCAGCCTATGGCACCACCATCCTTCACAAATTTAGCATGGCGGTTTGGCAGAATGCGGCCACGGCCGCCATTTGGTAACACTGACCGTAAAATAGAAAGCAAGAGGATATTTTGATAACGGGATAAAACAACTAATAGGACTTGAAGCAAATAAAAATCAGCAACTACGCGAAAATTATATACCTGGAACCATGTATGCCTGTGGCTTTGCACATGGGAAACTATTTTCCGGTTTGAAGTTTGATGCACTCCCCATATACTTCATTCCATAATTTTGCTCCAAAACTCCCCTTGCTCCAGCTGCATGTACATAACATATGAATTACCTATCCTCATAACATCAACAACATATATAAGTTAAAGTGCATCAATTGCAAAGGCTTACCAGGAGGTGTTCCCGGAATTGCAGCTTTAAAGCGTAGAGATGGAGGAACATAAAAGCAACTCTGCCAAATTTGAATCATATGTTATGACACCAGAAACCAAGCATAAAATATTTACATCCACTCTTATCAGATGTTGGTCAAATTAAAAGAGGTTGAGTTAAAAACCAAGAGAGTAAAAACCACCTGAAAGAAAGGATGTTGAAGGACCTCCAAGGCTGTGGGCCTCTTGCATGGATTCCACGAACATAGGGACTAGATTTGGCACAAACAAGAACATGAACACATTAGTTTCTGGCATTGAAGGAAAAATATTGTTGCTGGTCCTATCAAGAAAAAAAAAATATAAATATATATATATATATATATATATATATACATATATATATATTCCTTACCTTGATAAGGTTGATTGCATCCTCACTAACACCTGGTATCAAGGAAGAAAGACGGACACCAGGAACCTGCCACCAGATAGGGCAGAAGATAAGCATAAATAAATAAGAAAAAATTTCGAAAGGAACTGTTGGTCATATCCAACAAAATTGTCTAGATACCAACATTGAAAGAATAGGAAGGATTTAAAATTTTTGCTCAAGGGCTTTTACCATTGACAGTGAGCAAATCCTCAAGCAGCAAGACATTAAATATCTTATTCTTCTAAATAAAACATATCCCAACCCTCTACTACTTTTTAAGCATATTTAAAAATCTCTCAAGCATATTAACAGAAGCAATGCATCTAATTACAAACCCTTTACCAAAATAATGTTATAGTGAAACGAGAAATAAATCTTGTAAATCAATACACGACTTCATCAGAAGCTAGATTAATTGAAACTCACCCATGGGAACTGATAATTTATGGCACTGGCAAGTTCAAGACCCTCGTTCCACTCACTCCTGGTTGGACTCCCTATCACACAGCATATCTTGTAGATCTGATCAGGCTCACTACAATAAAAGAAATATGAGAAGACATCAAGAACTTTCCATGTAGTCCAGAAGTATAGATCATACGAGTTGTGACGTAAATATCTCTCTCTACATGGTTCTTCATCTCAAGAAGGGGTAGAGTACGCGTGTATTCTAATGAGCAAACAGTTCTAAAGGAATAATGCAATATGGAAAAGAATAATTCACAGCAAGAAAAGAAAGAAACAAAAGGCAGCTCCCATGGACGATATGTATACCTGGAACCAGGAAATAAAGGACGAAGTGTGAATAATTCCGACATTATCGCTCCCATTGCCCACATATCTGAAAGAAAATAGCATACATATTAAGAAAACCAATCTTCAATATAGTGCAACAGCTTTTGTATCGTCCACTCACCAACTGGAGGACCATATGTTGGAGACTGAACTAAAACTTCAGGAGCCCTGTACCTGCAAAACACATTGGATAAAGCAGAGAAAAACATGTTGAACAGAAATAAATAGAAAACGAGGGAAAACTACCAGCGGGTCGAAACATATTCAGTCAATGGAGGTTGGGAATTGATCTCCCGAGCAAGACCAAAATCAGCTATCTTTATGATAGCATTTGATACGAGCAAGTTCTCTGTTCAAGGGCCAGAGCTACACACATCAGCCATGCATGGCATATACAATCAAAATGAAGGAGCAAGTGAAGATTTCCAAATGATAACATACGAGTATCACCAAAATTTGCAGGTTGCTTAGAAACTAACATCCCTGATATGATGCATCCCTCAAAGGTTAATATGAACTTATAATGACATAAATTAACCATTAAACAAAAAAAGAGTGATTGTGGAACTCCGATTGGAAGAGCATAGGCATCTCTAGCAAGGAATTAAACCAAACAGTCAATTAGCTTGGAACAAAATACTGGAAGCATTTGGACAATTCCAACTAGAACAAACAATCACAGTCTATAAGAGCTTGAAAGATAAATATGCATCAAAGGTGGCATCCTCATTCAAATGAATAAATGACATACCTGGCTTGAGGTCACGATGGAAGTATCCACACTGATGTATGTACGCAAGACCTTGAAATACTTGAAAGCACCAGTTCCTCACATCAGTCTCCGAGAAGAAGCTACGTCTTTCCTTCATTAGCTGGTATAAATTACATTCCTGAAAGATGTCAACATAGCAACTCCAGGGTTAGAGGAAAATTAAAA